TCGATGTTCCTCGGCGCCGTCGCCGCCACGGCCAGCACAGGCGCGTTCTCTACTGGTCACGTCGCGCAGCCGTTGGGACAACCCCGCGGGCCAGGCTGTCGGGACAACCCCGCGAGCCGTTGGCGCGCAAGACCAAGCCGTTGGGACAACCCCGCGGGCTTCGAGCGAGGCGCAGCCGCGCTCAGGCGGAAGGCAGCACGAAGCCCAGCTCTGCCGCGAGCTGCTTCGCCTCCGCCCTGGACAAAACCGCTCTCTTGTCGAACTCCAGGAGCGCCTTCCGCAGGGACGCCGGCGGCCCGCACTCCAGGAACTCTCGCGGCGGCGGCCGCAGGATCAGCATGTTCCGCATGCACGTGGCGCGGGAGAACATGACGTAGAGGTGCAGCCACCACTGCTCGTCCGACATGCCCGTGCGGCCAGCGTCCTCGTCTCTCGCGCAGTCGATGGTGACGCCCTTGCGCAGCGTCTGGCCCTGCGACAGCGTGGAGGTCAGGTAGGACGCGTGCGTCAGGGTGAACCCCGAGCGGCGCACGCTGTGCGCCCCCGAGCTCTGCCATGTGAACTCCCTTTCGCTGGGCCTGAACATCAGCAAGCTCCGCGCCCGCGCCTCGATCTCCCGCCTGAGACTTCCTCCCAGTTCACTCGCAGACGAGGCTCCCGCCTGAGACTTCCTCCAAATTCAGGCTTGACGAGCCCAAAAGTGACGACAGTTACAGGTTCCGATGACCCGCTCGGATTACCAACATGATCTGCGGGCCCCATAGGGAGGGAGCTCCCGCCTGAGACTTCCTCACAATTCACTCAGAGACGAGGCTCCCGCCTGAGACTTCCTCCAAATTCAGGCTTGACGAGCCCAAAAGTGACGACAGTTACAAGGTTCCGATGACCCGCTCGGATTACCAACATGATCTGCGGGCCCCATAGGGAGGGAGCTCCCGCCTGAGACTTCCTCCGAATTCACTCACAGACGAGGCTCCCGCCTGAGACTTCCTCCAAATTCAGGCTTGACGAGCCCAAAAGTGACGACAGTTACAGGATCCCGATGACCCGCTCGGATTACCAACATGATCTGCGGGCCTCATAGGGAGGGAGCTCCCGCCTGAGACTTCCTCCCAATTCACTCACAGACGAGGCTCCCGCCTGAGACTTCCTCCAAATTCAGGCTTGACGAGCCCAAAAGTGACGACAGTTACAGGATCCGATGACCCGCTCGGATTACCAACATGATCTGCGGGCCCCATAGGGAGGGAGCTCCCGCCTGAGACTTCCTCCCAATTCACTCACAGACGAGGCTCCCGCCTGAGACTTCCTCCATTTTCAGGCCTGGGGAGCTCAAAAGTGACGACAGTTACAGGATCCCGATGACCCGCTCGGATTACCAACATGATCTGCGGGCCCCATAGGGAGGGGGCTCCCGCCTGAGACTTCCCCACAATTTACTCAACGATGATGAGGACGAGGATGATGAGTGGTGGTGAAGATGAGTGGTGGCGATGATGATGTTTGAATGAGGATGATGCCGGTGCCGATGATGATGATGATGATGATGATGATGATGTTCGTGAGCGTGTGAGAGAGTGCGAGTGATGATGATGATGATGATGAGTATGTGAGTGACTAAGCATGTGAGAGAGCATCATCGAGGATGCTGATGAGGTTGATGATGAGAGTGTGAGTGCGTGTGAGTGAGTGTGTGTGTGTGTGTGTATGTGTTCCTGTTCCTGCGCGGGGTGTCCAGAGAAAACAAGAATCCCACTTTGGATGTGGGGAACAAATCAAACACCATGAGGTGTTTCATCACACGTTATGCAGATTTTGCAGCCCACGCGCATGTGCAGAAATCATAAGCATACCATATGTTTGTAGCAATCTCGCACAGCACCCGCATTGCCATCTCACCACGCGGCGCAGCCGCGTTGACCTGGCATGCGTTCCGTGCGCGCATCCGCATCACATTGTACCATGCGGGCCAGACGCGCGTGCCGCCACGCACGCGTGCCGAAATCTGTTTAACACCATCGTCTATAGGTCTCTGGAGCATTTCGAGATAGAGATTTTCAGAAGCATGTGAAGACCATGTGTTCTTCACCAGGAAGTTTGCTTGCCTTATTGAATTTCTGCGCGCGCAGATCCTCACCACCACCCTCATCAACGCCATCTCATCACCACCATTACCGCCATCGCCAACCGCTGCCACGGCCGTCGTAATCAGTCAACCACATTTATCACCGACACACGGACATCGACCTCGTCATCGTCGTCACCAGCATCGGCGCCAGCTTTGGCTTTGCCGTCCTTGTCATCATCGCCACCGCCGTTGTCGAGGCTATCGTGCTGCCGCCCCCGCCCGGGTCACCGACCCGCACTGAAGTGCACGCGCCTGCCTGTGAGAAGCGCTGGGGAGGTCCCATCGGTCACCGCCACCGCGGCCGCGTTGGTTGTGCCAAGCCAGCTGGCCGCTCTGCGCAGAAACGACGGAAGGCTAGCGCGGCTGCAGATGAGCCAACCAATGCAAGGGAGTCTCCGCCACCGTGGCTGCATTTGTTGTGCAAAACAAGTTGCGGGTGGGAGGGTGGGGTGATTGCGCAAGCAGTAGAGTTGACAACTCATTCATGGGCTAGTCTTAAGTGGAGCACGTAGCATACACCACGTAGATCATACTACATAGTTTGCATCACATATCTTACACCGTACAGCTCGAACATAATAGTTCGCGCCGCATAGAACGCGCCACATAGTTATACTTCATGGCTTACGCTACAACCATTACAGTGCATTATTTGCCCCACTTAGATTGCACCGTATGGCGCATAGCTCATGCCACACACATTGCACCACAACGGTTACGCCTCATTGCTCATAGGGCACTACATGTTTCCGCCACGTATCTTACACCACATAGCTTACAGCGCAGCATCGCATAGCTCACACCACATCAGTATATTGCACCGTACATTTTGCGCCACACAGCTGGCACCGCACAGCTCACAGCATACATGTCACACCTCAAAGATCACACCACATAGTTTACACACCCACAGGGCAACATCTCACTGTTTGGGGTACACGCTGGCAAACATTGTTCCGACGTTAACCCCAGGAGGTGTTGACCCATTCCCCTGGACTGGCTTTTCATCAGGAATAATTTTTGACTGTCTCGAGGCTCAGCCAAGACCCCTCGAGGCCGAAAATAACACACAGCTTCCGTCGTGCTTTTTATACGACGCGACCGGGGTTTGGGTCTAGAGCTGTCCCGAGGATGCCTCGGATCAGAACTTCTTGCTCAAGATGGCCTCGCGCTCGCTCTCGCTGATGAGATCTCCGAGGTAGTCCGCCAGCTCTGCGCGCTCGTCGACGACCGAGCAGGGGAGAGGGCAGGCATGCTTGGCGGCGCGCGCAAGGGTGCGGGGATAGGGGGAAGGCTTCTCAGAAGGAGGCTGCTTCACAGAAGGCGCCGGCCCTACATCTAATTACAGACAAGGCCCGCGCCTTCTGAGGAGCAGGGTGCCTCTAAGAAACCCTCCCCCGCCTCCTACGGTAGTCTCGTTCGGCGTCGGCTCGCGCAAAGGTTTTTGACACCGCGTCGATCGCTCAAGCTTGAATCGATCGCGGGCCCGATCCTTCCAAACTGAATTCCGCCGGGTCCAGTGGCGTTGCCGTGTCCGTCGGTGCTTCCGCGTCGCAGAGTTCAACCTCGAACGCCTCCGCCGGCGTCGGCGGCGCGCTAACGCCGCACGAGCCCACCGCACCCTTATGTCGGGCGTGTCCCCCTACAGGGGGATTTTCGACGAAAAATAGAAAATACCCCCAAAATGCCCCCAAAGGGCAACACAAAAATTAGAAAAATAGTTCCCAGACTATTTTTGAGCATTTTTTGATTATTTTGGGGGTACTCTTTATTTTCCGTCGGAAATCCCCCTGTAGGGGGACAGGCCCGACTTAACCGTGCCCCCTTTCTGCGCGTGGCCGAGGGGAAGGGCAGAGGGCGGGCACGCGGGGGCGTGGCGCGCCCACCCAGGAGAGGTCTGCGGAGATCTGCGGGGGCCTCCTGGACGGCGCGCACAAAGGGGGGGTATGGGGGGGAGGGGGGTATAGGTTGTTGTTTTTTTGTTTTTGTTGTGTTCGTCCTTCACGGGGGGTATCGGCTACACGTAAGAGTGACCCTGGGTAAGAGTGACCTTTGGTGCGCGGCTTTCTGGGGGCCAGGGGGGGAACAAACCTGGGCGCGCAAGCCTCTGCTCCTGCTTCGTTTTCAGCCATCTGGAGACACATCTGTGCCCGCACCAAAGGTCACTCCGGCGAAAGGTCACTCTTACGTCTAGTCGAGGGGTAGGGGGAGGGGGGAAGGCTTCTTAGCAGGAGGTTGCTTCTTGGAAGGCGCCGGCCCTACATCTACAGCCACGGCCCGCGCCTTCTAAGAAGCAAGCGTGCTTCTAAGAAGCCTTCCCGCCTCCCCCTATCCCCCCTGTGCGCGTGGCCGACAAACCCAACGCCCCTCGAGGCGGCCTCCGGGGGCCTTCACGGGGGCCGGGGGCCGTCAAACAACGGCCCGGGAGGAGCGCGGCGTAAACAAATCATGGCGCCGGGGACTCCCCGAGGGCATGATCTTTTCATGACGTGTTCCTCCTTGGAGATCTCTGAAGGTCCCTGAAGGATTCCAGGAGCCTTTGAAAACATCCAGAGGCCTCCGGAGGGAGGGGAAGGATGGAAAGAAGGGTTGATAGACCCAAACCCCCAACGTAGTATTTTTTTCACAACGTTGACCCCCAGAGGTCTCGACCTCTTCCCCGGGATTGGTTTTTCATCCTGACTCTTTTCTTGACGGTTCAAGGCCCGTTAAGGGCCTCCAGAGGCCGAACATCAGAAAACTTCCCGTCGCGATGTTGTCACAACGCGAGAAGGTCTGGGGAGAGAGCAGGGGGGACCTCGTTCATGTCGGCCGCGCCCATCTCGTCGCACCACTCGTTGACCTTGTCCAGGTGCTTCGCGATGCCCATTACCCGCAGCCAATCCCGAACGCCCGGCACCGCTTCTCGTATGCGCACGACCTTCATCCATTGCTCCTCTCGGCGGGCGGGGGTGGAACATCACACTTTTCACGACAACCAATGCACCCCTCGCTCGAAGCGCTTTCTTAACCAGTAGTCCAGGTCCACATCTGCGCGAGTTCTACGACGAAAAGAAACTCCAAGAAAACGCCAAGGGTCCAGTCCAGATTTGTAATTGTCTTGAGCGGAATCTGGAGCCCACGAAAGTTGACGCTGCTCCATAAGATTGCGGATGGGTGTCATTATAGTAAGCGCGTGTGATTTCCATCTCAACATGGCGAGGGGGGCAGCATTTGTTCGCTCCCAGCCTGTTGCAGCAGCAACGTTTAGGACATCCAGCGGTGCACACATCGACGTTGCTTCGAACATCATGTGAATATCGGTCTGGGTTCAATGTCTGGCAATATCGCTGCATGAGCAGTTGAATACAAGCGAGAAGTTAGGGTTTGCAACAACGCTTCCCCGCATCAATAACCATATGCCGCAGAGACCCAACCAGGGCCGTGCTAGCAACGCACATGTTGCACTATACGCGCGAGGAATCCAAGACAACAATCATGATGTGACCTCGCGTTTTACGCCGAGAGTTGATACATGATAACCCCTTGTCGTTCCACGACAGCCCGCTCCGCGCATCCTCTGAATATGAGCCCGATGAGCGTGGCTCGGTGGCGTAGTGATCAATCCTTGCGGCCCCCTCTGGGCTGTCGAAGAAAGAGGGCGTGGTCCACAGGGTTCTCTTCCTGTGGAAGGGATGAGTGTGCCTGAGATCCTCTCTGCACGTGCCCACCCCTGGGGGACAGAACCCGCACTGGGAGTTGGGATGCCCCCCAGAGACGCGTGCGCTCTGAGGGCAGCGCACAGTGAGGTTGGAGGTGGCAAGCTGCGGGCGTCGCCACCGGCATGGCCTGCAACATCCTCACACCTCCGAGCTTGTTCGGCGTCCGAGCCCGTGCGGCGGCCGAGGCGGGGCTCAAGATCGAGCCCACTCGGCGGCCGGGGACGCCCGTGGCCGAACTGGGGGGCCCTTTCGGCTGCCACCTCGGCGGCCAAGCGGGCTCGGAAGAGAGCCCTGGGTACATGGCAGTTTCTACAATATATATATATATATAGGATTTTTGAAAATATAGAATATTGATACATGATTAACGTATGAATGAATTTAGGCATGAACTCATCGTTGTTTTAAATACTAAATCCCTGCATTTTTAATACATGATCCGCACGCGGAGCATGTATAAAAAACGGCACTGTAGCGAGAAAGGCATGCGGCCTTGGGAATAAAGCGACCTGGAGGTCTCCAGAAGTCTCCATCGGGGGTGCCCGCGAAGGTCCCCGAGAGGCCTCCGGAGGCACCTGGAGGCCTCGGGGAGCCTTCACGAGGGCACAGGAAAGGGGCAACGAGGTTCAGAACCATGGATCATCCACACCTCTCCACTCCCCCACAGTGGGAGCCTGCATTTAATGTGACCTTCGCTCCTGCACTTTCCCCTATGAGGAGGAGGAGGAGGAGGAGGAGGAGGAGGAGGAGGAGGAGGAGGAGGAGGAGGAGGAGGAGGAGGAGGAGGAGGAGGAGGAGGAGGAGGAGGAGGAGGAGGAGGAGGAGGAGGAGGAGGAGGCCCCCATCGAAATCGATCCCTGAACCTCCGTCGGCGTGCGTTCTGGTCAAGTACTCGAGGCGAACCCAGCCGTGGCGACGGGGGCGCCCCAGGGGGTTCCCAAAGGCCTGCGCGAGCAAGCCAGAAGATCTCGAACCTCGAACCCCCCATGTGGACAACGTTTACCTCCATGCCGATCCCCAGAGTTCCGATGGCGTGTTTTACTCCAACACGGGGCCCCACGACACCTCAACCACGACATCTTAACGAACGTTTCTTGGACGGTCCTGGAACCTGAAGTGAAAACAGCCCCTGGAGGCCGATGCTATGAACCATGCCTAGTTTTTCCCCAATCAGAGCTTGGCTCTGTAAGGGGTCCTAGCGGATTCATATGATTAGGTGAGGTGTGCCGCCGATTCCGGCGGCGGGCCCGGGTGCCCGGGTGCCTGGGTGCCCGGGTACCCGTGTGCGCGGGGGTGCCCAGGTGCCCGCGTGCCTGGGTGCCCAGGTGCCCAGGTGCCTGGGTGCCCAGGTGCCCTGTAGCCCTTATAGCCTTATAGCCCTAGAGCCTTATAGCCTGATAGCCCTATAGCCCAATAGCCCTAATAGCTCTATACCCCACATGGTCCAATAGCCCTATAGCTAGCCCTGTAGCCTTATAGCCGTATAGCCCTATAGCCCTATAGCCATATAGCCCAATAGCCCAATAGCCCTATAGCCCCATGGCCCCATAACCCTATAGCCCTACAGCCTTATAGCCCCATAGCCCTATGGCCTTTAAAACATATGATTGGGTTTTTCTCTGGGATCATGTTAAAGACGCTGGAGGTTGAGGGTGCGCACAAGGGGGTGGCGTGAGTGGTGCCACCTTCTGTGAAAGCAGGGGAGCTTCTGGGAAGGCTGGGGCAGGGCCCATTGGCTTCTCAGGAGCTTCCTTAGAATCCCCCAGACCCTTCTGAGAAGGCCCCCCCGCCTTCCTAGTTTGAGGGCATACGAATCACCCTCATAGTACGCACCTCTACAAACGAAGCCCTTTAACAACCACGCCTGGAGAGGGATCGAACAGGGCAGAGACCGGTCGGTAGACGCCTGTTGTGGGGGTTGGGGTGGTGTTGAGGGTCAAGGATGCAAGGGAACTGGCTCAGGGGGTGAACCATCGACCTTGAATCGACGATGCATCGCTCATACATCGGCGATAAGCCCCCGAGGCCCAAACCGCACGTTCCTGGGCGGGGTGTGTTGGCGACTGGGGAAATCGATGCGTTCCCCCTGGGCCTATCCCCCTCTAACGTTACCCCTGAGGCTTTTTATCCCTTGGTACGGTGAGGGCACCGGATGAGGAACCATTGGCCAAAGAATCCAGGACCTTCAAGCCGGTGGAACTTCCATCGTGGATCGGCCCATCACCGCCGCCCTCATCAGACAAGGAATCCCCCAAAGGTCTGAAGCCTCCTGGGCACATCTCGTCGCCAACGCCCCTACGGTGGTAGAACCCCTCCCCGCCCTTTCAGCAGGGCGACCCACGTCGCGCCTCCCCCCCCCCCCTGCGTGCGCGGCGCTGGCAGGCGTGGGCCTTTTTCCCCCCCCGATCCTCGTCGTCCTCCATGTCCTTGGGGACGCTCCAGTCGGCCTCCTCGGCGTCGTCGCCCAGGTCGATCTCGAACCCCGCGGTGGCGGCGGGCGTCGCGGTCAGGCCCAGCGTCTTGAAGGACTTCGGGGGGAAGAGCTTGCCCTCCTTCGGCGGCGGGCCGGGGGGGGGGGGGGAGCGGGGCCGACGGAAGGGGGGAGGGGGGGGGGGGGGGGGAGGGCAGGGATCGAGGCTCGAGGTCTGAGGATCGAGGGGGGAGGGCGAGGATCGAGGCAAGGATCGAGGGGGGAGGGCAGGGATCGAGGCAAGGATCGAGGGGGGGAGGGCAAGGAGCGAGGCAAGGATCGAGGGGGGAGGGCGAGGAGCGAGGCAAGGATCGAGGGGGGAGGGCGAGGAGCGAGGCAAGGATCTAGGGGGGAGGGCGAGGATCGAGGCAAGGATCGAGGGGGGAGGGCGGGGAGCGAGGCAAGGATCGAGGGGGGAGGGCAGGGAGCGAGGGGCGCTCTGCTCGTGGGGCCTCCCGGGGCGCCCGAAGGGCCACGGCTGGAGGCGGCTCGAGCAACTGGCCTTCGGCAGACTTTGGACGAAACATCAAAATTAGCCAAACCATATTCAAACATAGTCAGAAATATTCAAACCATTTTTTTGTGTGTATTATTTTTTCTCTTCTTCTATTCTTGCATATTCCTCCTGTAGAAGAACAGGCCCGCCTTAGAGCAACTGGCCAGGAAGGGCCCGGGAGCACGACTTTCGTCTGAGCGGGGCTGATCGTGGCATGGCCCGAGTCGCCACGACTGAATGAAAGTGTGCCCAGCTCCCTTGTAGATGGCGACTACCACAGGGAGCCCAAAATGAAGGAACGAAGTATCTCCATTCTTGGTCCCGAAAGCCCTGGGTGCACGAGGAACGCTGGAGGAACAACCATGGGAAGGACCTCACTACCAGCGAATCCCTTCCGAACCCGAAGTGGGCGACGACTGTCAAGCAGGTTTTACGCACGATGACCTGACAACCTTACGAGGCGGCTTACGCGGGCCGCCGGCGTGGCACGCCACATTGGCAACGAGGGCTCCTACGCGGCATCTTGCGCGGGCAACTTGCGCGCCAATGTCGGCGTAGTCGACTCCGCCTTCTTCTGTCGCTCTATATTATCCGTATTTCATCGTTTTGGTAGTTCCATATGGCGGCCGGCGCGCACAAGGGGGTAGAGTGAGGGGGGAATGCTTCTTAGAAAGAAGGTGCCTCTTAAAAAGGCGCAGGCCCTGAAATACGGGTGCTTCTGAGAAGCCCTCCCCCCTCCCTCCTACCTCCCTCTACGCGTGGCCAAGCTTTTCGTCCTTCGTATTTTTCTGACCGTCCCAAGGCCCGGCGCGGGCCCCAGTAGGCCAGAACTGACTAAACACCAGCCGCTCCAACTTTGTCGGAACCTTGGATCTGTGTCCTCCCATTCCCTTACACAACCAAGGATCGAATCGATGAGTCGGGTCGGCGATCGAAATGAATCAGATCGACGAGAATCTGCGTGTGACTGATCCAAGCAAGGGGAAATCGACAATTACCGATACCGCTCCTCCCTGGACCTCTCTGGGGGCACTCTCTGATTAGGACTTCCAAGCGAATCCAGCGGTGGCGGTGAGAGCCTCCCAGAAAATGAAGCAAGGGTAGCGGTATGGGTACCTTTTCCCCCTCGACTGGACAATTTTTTGATTGGGCGGGGCTCAGGGGCCCCCTCCCCGCGGTTGTACCATTCAAGAGTGAGCCCGGAGCATGCATTTCGGCAGTCTCGGTGCCTCCTTGCTTGAGTGCGCAGGCGAGCTTTGTACCACTGTTGAGGCGTACGTGGGAGCGAACGTCTGACTGAAGAGTGCATTCGGTGGAAAGCATCACGTAGCATATAGCTTAAAGACGCTGGTCAGGGACCATCTTACAAAAAAAGAGGAAGTGGTGAGGCCATGGCGAAACCTCAGGAGTCTCAGAAGACCTCTGAGTCCAAGGACCCACCTAGGAATTGAGCAACTGACTAAGCCTGGGGCAGATAAGGTAGTGCTTCATGTCATCAAGAACCCTCATGGGGTACTTTGGGGATGAGCAGCCAAGGGTACACCCGCGGGGAATAGCATGGATCCTGGAGCTAGTGCAGGCGCATCTGGCAAGACATCGAACAACCGCCAATTTGATATACATGCTCGACCTCCGCGCAATCACTTCCGAGCGGGCGAAGGCCCGCCCGAGATCCAGGAGCTCGACCCCAGGAATCCAGTTACAAGCGCGACGGAGAAGGGCAACCCATGGAAGATGAGAGGGGGAGTGGCACCGCTTCCGAACGCGCATCTGTCGCGTCTGCACATCCGACCTTTCGGAGCTGATTTCGAAACGGCACGTCTCGGGCTCGCCTGGGTGCTGACAGAGGTGGGCGAGGGAGCTCGAGACACGCCAAACCGACGCTTGTATTCAGAGAGCCAGTCGCCATCCTCAAAGCAAAAAAAAAAGCTGGCGCGTGCACGTGACCTCGGCAGCTCGTCGCACCCTGCCACGCACCTGGCACGGGTGGCGTCGGCGGCGAAGGAGATCTGCGAGAACTCTATCTTGCGACCGAACGCCGTGAGGTTGGTGTGCGTGTCATGCGAGAGGGCATGTTTCGGGCCCGCAGACAGGAGTCGCACGCGCGACTGCTGCAGTCTGGATGGCGCACTAGTGAGCCTTTGAAGTTGGAGCACACAATGCGGACGCGAGACGCGCGACGTCTTGGACGGCGCAATCGACTGTGCCAGACCAAGCCCCAGATCCCGAATCTCCCAGATCCTTTTCTTGAGCTTGGTAGCGTTCTCCTCCAGATCATCTTCCCCCGCCCCCCCTGCCGATCCAGATTCCGAACTATTTCGGGCGGCTGGCAATTTCCACGCGACCGAGATGGGCCCCGAGTCCCAGGAGAAAGCCAGCCAGTGGACCGCGAAGACCTTCGCGCGCCAAGACAGCCTTGAATTTCGGGGCATCGGGCGACAGCCCGGTGGCGGCACCCAGCTGGCATAGACACTGCAAGGCCGACCAGCCATAACTGGGGGAGCTGCGGTCCTCACCCCCCTGGGGAAACCCATCGCATCGACGATCTCTCGAGAGGGGTGTCGAAATCGATGGGTCCCCCAGGGGGTGGGCCGCGAAGACCTTCGCGCGCCAAGACAGCCTTGAATTTCGGGGCATCGGGCGACAGCCCGGCGGCTGCACCCAGCTGGCATAGACACTGCAGGGCCGACCAGCCATAACTGGGGGAGCTGTGGTCCTCACCCCCCTGGGGGAACCCATCGCGTCGACGATCTCTCTCTCTCTCTCTCTCGAGGGAGGAGGAGGAGGAGGAGGAGGAGGAGGAGGAGGAGGAGGAGGAGGAGGAGGAGGAGGAGGAGGAGGAGGAGGAGGAGGAGGAGGAGGAGGAGGGGGGTAAGGACCGCAGCTCCCCCAATCGTGGCTGGCCTGCGAGAGCGACCCAGCGCCGTCGGAGAGGCGCCCGGGCCCGAGCGCAGAAGTCCTCTGCAGCAGCCATGGCGCCAACGAGATGTGCTCTGGAAGCTGTGCTTGCAACCAGGCGATCGCCGGCTCCGCAGCCAGGCTGCAGGGCAGTTTTTAATACATATGAGTTTTAAACATATATGATTTTTAATACATGACCAACCTATGAACAAATTTATACATGAACTCATCGTTTTCAAATACCAAATCCGTACATTTCGAATACATGATCCGCACGCGGAGCATGTATAAACAACGGTACGGGCAGTTTCTAATACATAGGATTTAAAAACATATCGGATCTTGAATACATGATCAATGTATGAGTAAATCTATGCATGAACTCCTCGTTGTTTTCAATACTAAATCCCTGCATTTTTGATACATGATCCGCACGCGGAGCATGTATAAACAACGGCACGGGCAGTTTTTAACACATAGGATTTAAAGCAATATCGGATCTTTAGTACATGATCAATGTATGAGTAAATCTATGCATGAACTCCTCGTTGTTTTCAATACTAAATCCTTGCATTTTTGATACATGATCCGCACGCGGAGCATGTATAAGCAACGGCACGGGCAGTTTTTAACACGTAGGATTTAAATCAATATCGGATCTTTGGTACATGATCAATGTATGAACAAATTTATGCATGAACTCATCGTTGTCTTTAATACTAAATCCCTGCCGCTTTAATACGTGATCCGCACGCGGAGCATGTATGAAAAACGGCACTGTAGAGTGGGGCACGGAGCTGGGGCCCCTTTGGCGAACGCCGCGATCACTGGGGGAGGAACCAGGCGTCCGCCCGGATGCGTAAACGACCGCGGTACTGTTCTCGCGCAAGGCCTTGTAGAACTGGGCGAGTGCGTTGGGGGCGTCTGGGGAAGCCCGTGCTTTGGAAGCCCGCTAGGTTTTGGTCGATGGGGAACCGGAGTCGAAACCAACCTGAAAGAGGCCGCCCGTGCATCTATCTTTAAGTCGGGCGTGTCCCCCTACAGGGGGATTTTGGGCGAAAAATGAAAAGTAATCAAAGCATACTCCCAAATTGTCAAACAATGAAAAAATCGTCCCCAGACTATTTTTTAAAATGCCATTTTTGAATATTCCCCTGTAGAAGGACAGTCCCGCCTTAAATCTATCTCCCAGGTGCTGGATTAGATGGGAGCTCTCCGCTTCGAGAGCGTTGGCTGGCATGCCGCGGCCGCGACGGCGCTGCTGAGGAGGCCGCGGGGGCCCGTGCTCGGCGACGTGCCTCGCCGAGCTCGTAGGCGTCGAGGCTGAGGGCAATGCGGCCTCCGCGCTCGTCGCTGGCCATCGTTCGGACGTCCATTCCCTGTGTTCTGTTCGGTATCGTGCGTGGTTTTCGTGCGTGTTTCTTTCGCCAAGTGATGTTTTTTTTTTTTTTTGCGTGGGTGGTTTTCGTGCGCGGTTTTCGTGCGTGTTTTTCCCAACCATCCTGTGGTGTTGGGTCCTCGTTTTGAAGAAACGGTCCCTGCGTTCCTTCTTCCTCCTTCTCCTCGCCCTCCTCCCTCCTGCGTTCGCATGCCTCCCCACCACCCATTTCGGCACACCCCTCACACGTTTCGTGGCCCCATAGGCAGCTCCACCGAAGGCCCCAGTGGCTGCGTTCGCATGCCTCCCCACCACCCATTTCGGCACACCCCTCACACGTTTCGTGGCCCCATAGGGAGCTCCACCGAAGGCCCCAGTGGCTGCGTTCGCATGCCTCCCCACCACCCATTTCGGCACACCCCTCACACGTTTCGTGGCCCCATAGGGAGCTCCACCGAAGGCCCCAGTGGCTGCGTTCGCATGCCTCCCCACCACCCATTTCGGCACACCCCTCACACGTTTCGTGGCCCCATAGGGAGCTCCACCGAAGGCCCCAGTGGCTGCGTTCGCATGCCTCCCCACCACCCATTTCGGCACACCCCTCACACGTTTCGTGGCCCCATAGGGAGCTCCACCGAAGGCCCCAGTGGCTGCGTTCGCATGCCTCCCCACCACCCATTTCGGCACACCCCTCACACGTTTCGTGGCCCCATAGGGAGCTCCACCGAAGGCCCCAGTGGCTGCGTTCGCATGCCTCCCCACCACCCATTTCGGCACACCCCGGCACACCCCTCACACGTTTCGTGGCCCCATAGGGAGCTCCACCGAAGGCCCCAGTGGCTGCGTTCGCATGCCTCCCCACCACCCATTTCGGCACACCCCTCACACGTTTCGTGGCCCCATAGGGAGCTCCACCGAAGGCCCCAGTGGCAGGGTTCGCATGCCTCCCCCACCACCATTTCGGCACACCCCTCACACGTTTCGTGGCCCCATAGGGAGCTCCACCGAAGGCCCCAGTGGCAGCGTTCGCATGCCTCCCCACCACCCATTTCGGCACACCCCTCACACGTTTCGTGGCCCCATAGGGAGCTCCACCGAAGGCCCCAGTGGCTGCGTTCGCATGCCTCCCCACCACCCATTTCGGCACACCCCTCACACGTTTCGTGGCCCCATAGGGAGCTCCACCGAAGGCCCCAGTGGCTCCCCACCACCCATTTCGGCACACCCCTCACACGTTTCGTGGCCCCATAGGGAGCTCCACCGAAGGCCCCAGTGGCTGCGTTCGCATGCCTCCCCACCACCCATTTCGGCACACCCCTCACACGTTTCGTGGCCCCATAGGGAGCTCCACCGAAGGCCCCAGTGGCAAGGTTCGCATGCCTCCCCACCACCCATCTCGGCATACCTATCACACGTTTCGCCCAGTGGCAGGGTTCGCATGCCTCCCCACCACCCATCTCGGCACACCCCTCACACGTTTCGTGGCCCCATCGGGAGCTCCACCGAAGGCCCCAGTGGCGGGGTTCGCATGCCTCCCCACCACCCATTTCGGCACACCCCTCACACGCTTCGTGGCCCCATAGGGAGCTCCACCGAAGGCCCCAGTGGCAGGGTTCGCATGCCTCCCCACCACCCATTTCGGCACTCCCCAACACCCATTTCGGCACACCCCTCACACGTTTCGTGGCCCCATAGGGATCTCCACCGGAAGGTCGGGGGGAGCTTGACACTGGTATCCTTGCGGTACTCGCAGCTGCATATGGTTGGGTCCTTCGCCAGGCTAATTTTCGGTTTCGTGCGTGGTTCTTCGCCAAATGATTAAGGAAGGATGCTCCTCGATGGTCCTCGCCGACAGAAAACTGCACACGTCCGAGCGATGCCAAGGTTATGCTCAGGGGCCCAGTGCTGGCGGGCGCGCGATGTGTCCATGCCCCCACTTCGTGCTGGTTGTTGTGCCATGTTGTGTGTGTCGTCGGGGATGCCAGCGTGCAGGTTCCAGGGAAAAAGGCGCGGTCACAATCGAAGGGCGGAGGTCCTGCAGCGGGGGCTCTCGGTGCCGAATGCGGCGCCCCATCCTTCCCAGGCATGATGCCCACCCGCCCTTGATCATCGCGGCCCACGCCTCCTCCGCCGTCGTGCGCCCATTCTCCAATTCATGACTTCGTTCGGCTCGTCGGCAACCTCGGGCAACTACTGCGCGACATGCAAGAAAGAGCTCGGGCCAGATGGGCTCGCGTCGGCCTCCGTAGCTGCGGATGCCGAACTCCAATGGTCCTGCAGGGCCTGCGCCGACAACTCCTCCGTGCGGCTGGAATTCCCAGAGGCAGAAAGGGTCACTTGGAGCCAGGTGCGGCGCTTCATCTTCTGCCGAAGCGCTTTCCGCGCCGCTGGTCTCCGCTCGGCGTTAGCTGGAACCTTTAGCCACTTCGGCAGACGGGAGAGCGTCGTACAGGCTCTGCACTCGTTTGCAGAGGGCGGCAATGCGGGCGTCGTGAAGGCCGGCGGGGACACGTTGGGCAGAAGGAATGGGTCTGCGGAGATATCCTTATCGAGCCTGAAAGTATGCCCGGCCCGCCATGCCCGAGGAGCTTGAAGGGCCCTGCAATGCTTCGCTTCGGCAGAGTCAGCTCGTTCCCAGGGAAGGAGACGCTTCGCCTCTTCGGCAACTTCGAACATCGGACCCGTGGCTTCACCAAGACGGCCCCACGGGTCACCTCCAGCAACACGGGTCCCGACAGGTCTCGGGTGATCCAAGGCGCTGGGCGTTTAGGGGCATCATGGGGTCGGATGGTGCTAATGGCTATAGAGACCGGTGGGTGGTCCGACGCCAGGTAAGACTTGGGCTGGCCTAGCTCGAACTTCGCCTTTGATTGTCAGGTCCGTGATCGTGGCAGACGGGATTGCGCTGTGCGCGCGGTAAAGCGTGGCCCCGTGTGCCATCGCCCCCTCCCTCGCCACCCTGCTCGTGTCGTCGGACTGGCGGAATTCGAGCCAGGGCCCGCAGAACCTATGGGATAGGGCAGCGTGGCGGTCATCTCCAAGTGACCATCTACTGCTATCAGCGCGAAGTCTGCCGTATGAAGAGGAATGCAGCGCCCCAACCACCTATCGATGCAGTAGAGCAAACCGTGGGGCCAGGAGAGGCGCAGAGGATTTCGCGTAGAGTAGACGCACAGGTACTGGTAATATCATTCGCGTTCGGCATGTGACGTGGGCGTCCATGATGCGCGAGGCCCGGCCCATCAATGCGTGTTTTGGGGATGTGGCCCTCGATGACATAGGAGTGGGAGACGGGGGGGAAGGGCCTGGCACGACCGGGCTGGATACAGGTAATCTCACCACCTTCGCGGGACGAGCCCCGAAAGAGGGAGTGACCGACCTCGACCTGACGCAGCTCGCCTCTTCGCGAGCTTCGGGCACCTGGCGTGGCGAGGAGCTGCTCTCGCACTTCGGCGCTGAGCGGCTGCGCGCAGGACGCCCGCGTCCCAGCGTCCAGCAGTCAGGGCGGGAGAGAGGGGGGGGGGGCGTGGGGCGGGCCCTGGCTTGGGGCAGAGGCGTGGCCAGGCGGACCTCGGATGGTCCTCTGGGAGGACCCCGCGGCCGAGGCGAGGGGCGCCCTCGGGGTCGGAAGGGCGGAGGCATCGCAGGGGCGCGCGTCTGCAGGCCGACGGTGCAGGGCGCCCCCCAGGGCCGAGTGTGACAAGAGACGCGCTGTGGGGGCCGAAAGGGCCCGCAAGACTTGAAGGGGCCCCAGGACACACACAAATAAATGCACACAAATAAAACAATTCCCCATTTGTTCGCATATGTTTGAAGTTTTTGTCTTCCCCCCCACTTCCAATATTTTCCATATTTTCGGGGGAATCGACGATTCATTGTGTCTGTGTGCTTTTTTCCCCTCCTGAAGATTAGGACGCGCACTCTCTGACGTGTCTCAGGAGTCGCTCCCGTGGGGCTCAGGGCCTGCAGCGCTCCTCCTTCAAAAGGGCTGCGAGTCGCCCGGATGGGCACCCCCCCTTTCGAATCGATCGGCTGCTGGGGGGGGGCACCGTCTGGCGCTTATCAGATTGTCCAGGACCAAAAAATGACAATCTCTGGCTTCGCCCCCCGTTCCTCCTCCTCCTCCTCCTCCTTTCCCCTTCCTCCTTTCCTCCTCCTCCATTCCTCCCCTCCTCCTCCTCCTCCTCCTCCTCCTCCTTTCCTCTTCCTCCTTTCCTCCTCCTCCATTCCTCCCCTCCTCCTCCTCCTCCTCCTCCTCCTCCTCCTCCTCCTCCTCCTCCTCCTCCATTTATGGCCGACGCTGGTGAGGCAAGCTCAGGGTGGCCGCAGGAGCGCCGGGCCCTCGGGGGTCACAGCTGCGGCAAGAGAGCGCCGCGAGCTCCTGCGCGTGGCCGCGAGCAGGAGGCGAGGGTCCGGCTCGAGATCCCTCCTGGCCCGCAGCAGGATCTGCTGGCTCGGGTAGATCGGGTCGGGGAAGAAGATCGGAGGCTGGGAGGTCATCGTGCCGAGGAAGTCGGGGGCCTTCGGTGAGTCAGCAGCGCCGCGTGTGGTCTTCCTTGTCGCATCGCGTGTTCCAGCAGTCGGTCGCTGTCGATCCTGTGGTGCGTCAGCCATCAACACCATGCCAGCAGCCCGCTCCAAAGAAACCTGCGTCATCTTCCGATGGGAACCAGCAGCGATAACACGGTGAGCTCTGCCACTGGCTGCCTGTCTTGATAGGGGGGGGCGCGAGGAACGGCCCGGAGGTGGTGTGGGGGCAGCGCGCGGAGGCAGCCGGTGTGGGGTGACTCCCCGGTCTGGCCCTGTCGTCCGTGATGCGCTGCAGCTTGGAGTCGGGCTCGGGCTGGCTAGCTTTCCATGTTGGTAATGCGGGAGTTGAGCTTCTGCACGTTTTGGTCGGCGACGTCCATGGCTGACTGGGTCGCTTGGGCTTCCTGGGAAAACGTCTGCTCGAACGACACAGTCCGATTGATTGGGACCTTGATGCCTACGATCAGCTGCGTCATCCAGCTCGGGGGATCAGAAGAGGCCGCGTCCATCGATAGAGAATCACCCCTGTCACTCCTGGAACGTGTGCGGCCCGAATACTTGAGGTCAGCGTCTGAGCTGGGGGGTCGCTGATGCAGAGGCTGCCTTGGGCTCAGGTCGGGAGGTCCATGGCTCTAATTTTTCATCTCAAGGGTCCTCGGATGCGACGCCTGTCTGGATCGGCGGGCCTCACGCTTCTCCTGCTTCTTCACTCTTGCTCGGTCCAGGGCGCCCGCCCATCGGATCAACTGGGGTGATGCGGACCGTGGTGCGGAAGTGCTTGTAAATGGAGAAGGACTGGACAAACAGGCTTGCTTTCGCACGAGGCCTCACAGCAAAGATGAAGAAAAAGGATCAAGGAACCTGATGGCCCGGGGCTGAAGCCAGGCCTCACGGCTTCGACCAAGCTCTAGCCGCCAAAGTCCCGCTGTTAAAATTTGAGCCCAAAGGGCTTGGGCCCAACCTTGGGCTACCATGTCCTGATGGAACAGGGTCCTGGACCTCTGGGGCCTTCCCCCAAGACGAGCTGTTCATCCTGAGTCGCTGTCTTGCACTCCCGAGGCCCGTGGAGGGCCCCGAGCGCCCGAAACTGGCGAAAAACCTCAGGACCCGTTTCCCTCAGAACCCGTTTCCCCCCCATGGCGGGATCTACAGTGGGGGGAAGAAATGATGCCCTCCATGCCCCCGCCGGCCGCCGGGGCTCCTCCGTCTGCCGCGCGCGGCAGCGCAGGCGCTTGGCCCCCTGCTCGCGGGCCTCCGACGCCACCAACCGCATCAACAGCATCTCGACCTGTCGGGCCAGACGAAAGGGGGGCGCGTGGCTGATGAAGGATGGCGCCTGGTAGCGATGAACACAATAGGGGCGATTTCAGACATCCGCTTCCGCGTATACAGCAACAGCAGCACCTGTTGCTGCTGTTGTCGTCGTCGTCGTCGTCGTGTTGTTGCTGTTGTTGTTGAATTCTCATGTCTGAAGAAGAATTATGGTTGATCCCCCCTCCACTGGTGCATCCTGTTTTTTCTCCATCAAAGTGTGCCCCTCGACGCTCGCACCCTGTTTTTTGATAGGGAAAGTCTTCCTGCTCAAACTGGCCCCCTGGCCCCCGGGTTACAACAACAACGGCTCCCGCTTGAGACTTCCTTACAATTTCGCCAGGACCCCCGCTCCCGCCCGAGACTTCCTCGCATTTCATTCAGGAATCGCGCTCTCGCTAGGGACTTCCTTACAATTTATTGAAGAATCGCTCTCCCGGCGCTCTGGAGTCGCGCTCTCGCTGTAGACTTGCTTGCAACTTACTGAAGAATGGCCCTGCATGGGAATTTCCTGCGATTTGCTCAAACGCCGCGCGCCCGACACCCAGGCACCCAGGAGTCGCGCCCGTTGTGGCCCCATGTGCGTGCCCTTCGTGGCCCCGCTGTCGCCATTTGTGTCCCCCTCACTGTCCTACGTGGCCCAGTTGCTACCCTCAGTGGCCCCATAGTTGCGTTCTGTGGCCCCGCAATATCTGCACTTCGTGGCCCCCGCTCGTTCGCGCTCTTCGTGGCCCCACGCATTCTTTTCGTGTCCCCGCTGTCGCCCTTCGTGGCCTACTTCGTGCCCTTCGTGGCCCTGCTGTCGTTCTCTCTCGCTCTCGCTTTCGCTCGTCGTCGCCGTCGTCGTCGTCCCCGTCGTCTTCGACGTCGTCGTCGTCGTCTTCGACGTCGTCGTCGTCGTCGTCGTCGTGGTGGGTCCCCTGTCCGTCCCTCTTGGGGTCGGGTCGACGGTCCGCGGCCGCCCCGCCGATCAGCGCTGCCGCTGACCAGGCCGACGGTCCGCGGCCGCCCCGCCGCTTGCCGGGGCCCGGTCTGCAGGGAAGAAAGGCATACCCCCCAAAAGGGGTTCGATCGAAGACGAAGAGGGCGGGTATCGAGGGTTTGGGAAATACGCGTTATTGGACACTCGAGCAGATCAGGGCGAACAGTCTTAACATTATTGTTGTTATTGTTGCTGCTGTTGTTGTGGCTGTTGTTGTTGTTGCTGCTGTTGTTGTTGTTGTTGTTGTTGTTGTTGTTGGTGTTGTTGTTGTTGCTGTTGTTGTTGTTGTTGTTGTTGTTGTTGTTACTTACGGAACAATTATTATTGTTGGACACCTTAAAGGCGCTCTGGCGCTCTCGCCGAGGTGCCGGCTACATGCTCATTGAAAATGAAGCTCACGCTCGAGCGGTTTGGGGGACCACAGAAACCGGCCCCCCAACAACAACAACAACGTTCCCGCTCGAGACTTCCTCCTTTTTACTCAGGGTTGGTGTTCTTGCTCGCCGCCGAAAGCCGCCGTCTTCACAAAACCAGCGCTCCCGGTCGAGACTTCCTCCCGTTTTACCTTGGACTGGCGTGCTAATCTTTCTCTCATCGGCGCCGCCCCGAGCAAAAACAACGCTCCCGCTCGAGAGTTCTCTCTTCTTTACACAAGGCGGTGCTCCTCCTCGCCGCCGAAAGCCGCCGCCCCGACAAAACCACCGCTCCTGCCCGAGACGTCCTTCCGTTTTACGCTGGACTGGCGCCCAACTCTCTTTTGAATTGGCGCCGCTCCCAGCAAGAACAACGCTCCCGCTCGATAGTTCCTCTCTTTTTCATGAAGACGGTGCTGTTCCTCGCCGCCGACAACCGCCGTCCCGACAAAACCACGGTTCCCGCTCGATGCTTTCTCCCTTCTTACTCCTCCTCGCCGCCGAAAGCCGCCGCCCCTACAAAACCACCGCTCCCGCCCGAGACTTCTTTCCGTTTTACGCAGGGCTGGCGCCCTAGTCTCTTTTGAGCTGGCGCCGCGGTCAGCAAGAACAACGCTTCCTCTCGAGATTTCTTGCCTTTTTCCTCGGGACGGTGCCGGTCCTCGCCGCCGACAGCCCCCGTCCCGACAAAACCACGGCTCCCGCACGATGCTTCCTCCTTTCTTACTCAAGGCGGTGTTCCTTCTCGCCGCCGAAAACCGCCGCCCCGACAAAACCACCGCTCCCGCTCGAGACTTCGTTTTGTTTTATGCTGGACTGGCGCCCTACTCTCTTCAGCATTGGCGCTGCTCCCAACAACAACAGCAGCCCTGCTCGAGACTTCCTCCCTTTCTATTCAGGGCCAGGTCCTTGCCTCACCGCCGACCGCCCCCATCTCCACCAAGGCAATCCTGTCGTTCGATACTCTCTTGTGCTTTACCCTTCGCTGCGGCTCCACTGGCGGTCTCGCATTGGCGCAGCAAGGCGCGGGCATGTGTTTTCGAGGCGGGATAGGTTGAAATTCCTCGGCGGAGGTGTTTGCAAAATCTCATTGGGTGGGGTATCTGGGAATGTGAATAACGGACCCCGCTATAGAACAAGAGTCCCCCATTACGTGCATGGTTATCATGATGGTCGCATGCTTCGTGTGGAAACATCGCGCATGAGGGTGACATGATTGTTGTTGATGTTAATGTTGATGTTGATGTTGTAGTTGTTGACTGAAGAATAATTATGGTTGATCCCCCCTCACCGGTGCAAGCTATTTTTTCTCAATCAAAGTGTGCCCCTCGACGCTCGCACCCTGTTCGTGACACGGCAAGTCTTGATGCTCAAACTGCGCCCCTGGCCCCTGGGTTACAACGACGGCGGCTCCCGCCTGAGACTTCCCCAGAATTTAGGAATCGCGCTCTTGCTTGGGACTTCCTTGCAATTTACGGACGAATGTCGCCCTTGCGGTGGACTTTCCGGCAATTTACTCAAGCGCCGCGCTCCCGACACCCAAGCACCCAGGAGTCGCGCTCACGCTTAGGACTCCCCCACAATTACCTAGGAATCGGGATCTCGCTGCCATTCGTGGCCCCGTTGCAGCCCTTCGTGGCCCCCTCGCTTTGTTTCGTGGCCCCGTTGCAGCCCTTCGTGGCCCCCTCGCTTTGTTTCGTGGCCCCGTTGCAGCCCTTCGTGGCCCCCTCGCTGCCCTTCGTGGCCCCGTTGCAGCCCGTCGTGGCCCCGTTGCAGCCCTTCGTGGCCCCCTCGCTCCCCTTCGTGGCCCCGTTGCAGCCCTTCGTGGCCCCCTCGCTGACTTTCGTGGCCCCATATATGTATGCCCTTCGTGGCCCCCGCTCGTTCGCGCCCGTGGTGGCCCCATATGCATGCCCTTTGTGGCCCCGCTGTCGCCCTTCGTGGCCCCCTCGCTGCCCTTCGTGGCCCCGTTGCTGCCCTCAGTGGCCCCGTCCTTGCCCTCCGCGGCCCAACATACGTATGCCCTTCGTGGCCCCCGCTCGTTCGCGCCCGTTGTGGCCCCGTGTGCGTGCCCTTCGTGGCCCTTGTGGCCCCCTCACTGTCCCACGTGGCCCAGTTGCTACTCTCAGTGGCCCCATCGTTGCGTTCTGTGGCCCCGCATTATCTGCCCTTCGTGGCCCCCGCTCGTTCGCGCTCTTCGTGGCCCCATACGCATTCCCTTCGTGTCCCCGCTGTCGCCCTTCGTGGCATACTTCGTGTCCTTCGTGGCCCTGCTGTCGTACTCTCTCGCTCTTGCTTTCGCTCGTCGTCGTCGTCGCCGTCGTTGTCGTCGTCGCCGTCGTCGTCGTCGACGTCGTCGTCGTCGTCGTCGTCGTCGTCGTCGTGGTGGGTCCCCTGTCCGTCCCTCTTGGGGTCGGGTCGACGGTCCGCGGCCGCCCCGCCGATCAGCGCTGCCGCTGGCCAGGCCGACGGTCCGCGGCCGCCCCGCCGCTTGCCGGGGCCTGGCCTGCAGTGCAGGAAAAAAAGTATACCCCCCAAAAGGGGTTCGATCGAAGACGAAGAGGGCGGGTATCGAGGGTTTGGGAAATACGCGTTATTGGACACTCGAGCAGATCAGGGCGAACAGTCTTAACATTATTGTTGTTATTGTTGCTGCTGTTGTTGTGGCTGTTGTTGTTGCTGCTGCTGTTGTTGTTGTTGTTGTTGATGTTGTTGTTGTTGTTGTTGTCGTTTACTCATTTCTAAAGAATAATTGTTGCTGATCTCCGGATGCGGTTCCGCACGCTCTCGCCTCGACGCCGGCAGCACTTTCTATGAAAAGGAAGTTCTCGCGAGAGCGTTGGCTTGAGTCTGAACATGGACCCTTGGAGGCCCAGCTACGACGACAACGGCTCCCGCTCGATACTTCCTCACAATGTACCCCGAGACGCCCTGGCGCCAAAGAGGCCCCCGAACTCAGGAACGGCGCTCTCGCTCGAGACATCCTCGCAAGTCAACCAAGTTGGCGGAGGCCTAGCCACGACGACAAGGACTCCTTCTCGATATTTCCTCACGATTTACTCTGAGAGCCCCTGGTCAGGAGGGCCCCCGAACTCAGGAACGGCGCTCTCGCTTGAGACTTTCTCGTAATTCGGGCAAGTTGGTGGAGGCCCAGACACGGCGACAAGGGTTCCCGTTTGATATTTCTCCATCGGTATTCCGAAAGCCCCTGGACTGAGAGGCCCCCGAACTCAGGAACGGCGCTCTCGTTCGAGACTTCCACGCACTTCAGTCAGTGGCCGACAAGGGAGATATTCCCCCCGAAAGGGGGTGCAATCGAAGACGAAGTGGGCGGGTATCGAGGGTTGGGGTATACAGAATGCAAGACACGCGTACCAGTAAGAGCGAATAGTCCCAAACTTATCATTAGTATTGTTGCGATTGTTGTGGTCGTTGTTGTTGTTGTTGTTGTTGCTGCTGTTGTTGTTGTTGTTGTACTCTAAGTACTGGAGAATAAATATTGTGGATCCCCCCTCCTGCACCATATGAGGTTTCTCAATTGAAGTGCCCCTTCTGGGGCTCGCACTCAGTTCTTTATGACGGAAGATCTTCCTCCTCAAACTGCGCGCCTGGCGGCCCCCAAACTACAACATCAACGGCTCCCGCCTGGTACTTCTTCGCATTGTTTCAAAGAGTCGCGCTCTCGCTAAGGACTTCCTTGCGATGTATCAAAGAATCGCGCTCTCGCCTGCTACTTCCTCGCAACTTATTTAGGCGTCACACCCTCGCCCTTCAGGCATCGCGCTCTCGCTTGGGACTTCTCCATTCTCTACTTAGGAATCGCGCTCTCGCCCGATACTTCCTGGCGAATTACATATGGAGGACTCACGCGTTTGCGTAACATTCATGTTTTTCAATCGAAGTGTCCCTCGCGGGGCTAAGCTTTGCCCCTGGCCCCCAGCTTACAACGACAGCTGCTCCCGCCTGATAACTCCTTGTAATGTAATAAAGAATCGCACTCTCGAATCACGCTCTCGCTTTAAATTTCCTCACGACATGTATTTTGGAATCGCGCTGTCGCCCAAGGCTTCCTCGCGATTCATGCAGAACGCACGCTTCAGCAACCCGCCTGCTCGACCTGGCCGCCTGGGCCCGCCTGTTCGTGTCTATTCGCCCGATCTGCCCGTCTGGTTCTGCCACGTGTTTTCTGCTCCTAGCTCCCCTCCAGTTACTCTCTCTCTCGTGCTCCATCCTCCTCTTTTCCCCTTGTCCCTTCCTTCCATCCGTCCTCTCTTCCGCTGTCGTAGGTGCTGCACGAAATACACTTTGCAGGTGAGAAAGATATACCCCAAAGGGGATACGATCGAAGACGAAGAGGGTGGGTATCGAGGGTTTTTGATATACGTGTTGAGTGGCACGCGAGCAGATAAGAGCGAGCAGTCTTAACATGATTGTTGTTGTTGTTGTTGTTCTCGCTGTTGCTGCTGTTGTTGTTGCTGTTGCTGTTGTTGTGGTTGTTGTTGCTGTGGTTGGTTGGTGTCGTTGTCGTTGTTGGTTCTCTTTTATTATTGTTCTTGGTGCTGTTGTTGTTCTTGTTGTCGTTGCTGCTGCTGCTGCTGTTGTTGCTGTTGTAATTGTTGTTGTTGTTGTTGTTGTTGTTGTTGTTCGTGGTGGTGGTGGTGGTGGTGGTGGTGGTGGTGTGTGTATGTGTGTGTGTGCTTGCGTGTGTCTGGGACCCTTGTATTTTCGATGCGACGCAATGAACCCGCCCGACGCGCCGAACCCAACATCTTTTCATTTATGCCACCATGTCCCTGCGTTATTTTCGCTTCCCAAGCGGATCACAAGCTGTCCTCCCAAACCGAAGTCTGGGTGAGGCCGGACCTAAACCCGAAGAACATCCTTTAAGAACGTGGGACCCTCTGCCGGCCAAGCTGAAGAACATGTGAGGCTACTCCCCCAGGATGCACAGGAACATCCTACAACACTCGTAGAACCTTAGGGTCGCTTCCCCGCGCCGACCGTCGCAGGGTCCACTGCCCCCCTCCGGGGCGCCCCCCCCGGGGCCCTCCAGGCGCAGCCCCAGCGCACGCCCGAGCGCGTTGGCGGAATCGCGCGCCAGCGCAACTGGATGTGGCCTTCTGCCGCTGGGAGAGACAGAGTAGCCCAGACTCGAATCGATGAGTCGGATCGGCGATCGAAATGAATCGGATCGGCGGAAATCGGCAGCCGAGTCGGGAGAAGTCGAATCGGCGGAAATCGGCAGGCTTACAAGCTTCCATTGAGAAATCGGAGCCCAAATCGGAATCCCAAGCCGAATCGAATCGGAATCGGAAGCCATCGAAGTCGAATCGAATCGAATCGGAGGAATGGAAACGAGCCATGGAGAGACTGTGGAGAGAAGGGCCGACGAATCTCAACGACGGCGATGTCGCCCACGAGTGCGCACGGCCGCCAATTGCTGAATCCTCGCCCAGGGCTTGCCTGCGCGCCGCGCCCCCATTGGCATGTTGGCCAGCATGGACGCCAAACAGTGATGTCTCGCAGTATTAGCGGCGCAATCTAGGTGGTGCATCCTCAGCGTGATGCAAGCCGTGTGGTGCAGTCTATGTGGCGCGACGCAGTGCAAGGCAGTGTGATGCAGAGCACTGCGAAGCAGTGCAACGCAGTGAGCAGCAATGCCTGGCAGCGCGAAGCCATGCAGAGCAGTGCGCCCCCATGCACAGCAGAGGAGTGCGATGCGATGCTTCGCAGCGCCAGGCGCTGCCAAGCAAGTGGCGCAAGTGCTCGCCATCGCTCGGACGTCCATTCCCTGTGTTTTTTTCGGTCTCGTGCGTGGTTTCTTCGCCAAATGATCAAGGATGCTCCTCGATGGCCCTCGCCGAAGGAAACATGCACACGTCCGAGCGATGCCAAGAGTGGCGCAAGTGGCGCAAGTGGCGGCGACGGGCGGCGGCCGCCGCGACGGGCGGCCACAGGCTGGCCGCACTGGCACCGGGGCCCGCTGGTGTCGGCGCGACGGCCGGCGGCGACGGGAGGCCACAGGCCGGCTGTGGCCGACAAGCAGGCCCGGTGCCCCCGGACGAGAAGCCCGAGGCCCCGAGCGCAGGCACTGCTTCGGGGACCTGCCGAAGCGCCGTGCTGCTTGGATGGTCGTCCTCCTCCTCCCCCTCCTCCCCCTCCTCCCCCCCCTCCCCCCTCCCCTCCCCTCCTCCTCCTCCTCCTCCTCCTCCCCTCCTCCCCCTCCTCCTCCTCCTCCTCCTCCTCCTCCGCCTCTCCGCCTCCTCCTCCGCTCCTCCTCCTCCGCCTCTCCTCCTCCTCCTCTTCCTCCTCCCTCCTCCTCCCTCCTCCTCCTCCGCCTCCTCCTCCTCCTCCTCCTCCGCCTCCTCCTCCTCTTCCGCCTCTTCCTCCTCCGCCTCCTCCACCTCCTCCTCCTCCTCCTCCTCCTCCGTATCGCTACGCGATCAGGCAGAGTCTCCAGAGCCTCCTCCGCCTCCTCCTCGGCCGGCCTCCTCCTCCGCATCATGTAGCATCCTGTCTTCCGGCGCCGTGACTCGGGATCGACGGACGATGCACCCCCGACTGGCTCGGCAGATCGGCGGCAGGCCCCCGACAGCGGACCCGCACGTTCCCGGGCGGGGCGGGTGTGGGGCCCCTCCTGCTGGCGAGGCGAGGGCGGGTGGGAGGCGATGCGCTCGTTGCAGCGGAGGCCAGTCCACAAGAGGCCTTCCACAAGAGGCCTTCCACGGGTGTGGGGCCCCTCCTACTAGCGAGGCGAGGGCGGGTGGGGGGCCATGCGCTCGTTGCAGTGGAGGCCAGTCCACAAGAGGCCTTCCACAAGAAACCCATCCCTGAGACCTCGGGCCGTCCGTTGCCCTTTGGTGTGGGAGCGTCACGCTTTCCATAGTAAACCATCGAAACCAAAGAGGCCCTGGGCACCATGGAGGCAAGCAGGGTGTTTCTTGGCATGGGTCTCCACTGCAACGTGGCCGCTGACTTCTGGCGTCAGGGTGGCACCGCGGTGTCGAGGAGGGGTGCCCAGCGGCGTGGTCGACAAAAGGGGCCGCACCCAGCAGACTTCCGTATATCCCCACCCCCCGTTTCGCCCGACCCAGACTCGAGGACTCCTGGATGGGTCCCGGATGGGGCCCGAGCGTCGCGTCGCCGACGCCTCGGCAGGGCGGCTCGATGCGGAGCTGGATTCTCGCCACGCCGACGGCGGCGATGCATCGCACACGTCGCCGATGGATCGGCGATGCGGCGCGCTACTGCGACCCCACGTGCCCGGACCCCATTCGGGAGGTCTCCTCCGCCTCCTCGTCCTCTTCCGCCTTCTCCTCCTCTTGCTCCGCCTCCTCCTCCTCCTCCGCCTCCTCCTCCTCCTCCTCCGCCTCCTCCTCCTCCTCCGCCTCCTCCGCCGCCTCTTCCGCCTCCTCCTCCTCCTCCGCCTCCTCCTCCTCCTCTTCCGCCTCCTCCTCCTCCTCCGCCTCCTCCTCCTCTTCCGCCTCCTCCTCCTCTGCCTCCGCCTCCTCCTCCTCCTCCTCTCCTCCTCCTCCTCCTCCTCCTCCTCCTCCTCCTCCTCCGCCCCCCCCCCCTCTCCAGACGCCTCGGGCCCCTCGGCGAGGCAATCCTCGCCCACGCAGAAGTCCAGCCTCGGGGGGCCCAGCAAAAAAAAAACGAGCACCCGCGTCGGCGGCGCGCACGCCGGGGCGCTGCGGGGGGGCTTCCTGCGAGGGCGGTTGGCGGCCTCCAAGGAGGCGAAGGAGGCGGAGGCGGAGGCGGAGGCGGAGGCGGAGGCGGAGGCGGAGGCGGAGGCGGAGGAGGAGGAGGAGGAGGAGGAGGAGGAGGAGGAGGAGGAGACGAGCGTAGGGAAGGCGGCGTGTCCTACCACCTACGGCGGCGGGGGCAAGAGCGAGAGCGGCGGGGCGCCAGGTGCGTCCTCCGCGCTCAGCGCCAGGTCGATGGCAGCGTCCAGCGCAGCCGATTTTACATCGTGCGGGGAGCTGGGTGCGACGGTGGAGGGGGGAAGCGGGAGGGGAGCAGTAGCAGCACCAGCAGGAGCCATCGGGAGGGGCGGACAGAGTGAGGGAAGGGTCAGAGCACCAACGCAGGGCGATGACAAATCGGACACGAGGGCGGCGGCCGTAGGCAAGGGAACGCTGGGAGGGGATAGGTCGGGCGAGAGGGTGGAAGGCACGGGCTCAGAGCTGCTCAGAAGATGAAAACAGTGAATGATGCCATCGCCGCACTCGGAACCACGGGGCGATGAAGGAGGAGAGGGGGCCAACACGGTCGGTGGTGTAGAGGACGCCGAATAAACGAGACCAGCGGAGTAAGACGAGGACTGCGGTGGCGGGGAGAGAAGCGGGATCGTGGCTCCGTCGTGGTGTCTCTCGAGAGCGCGGCATCACCGAGGGTGCGAGGGCTGTCACGATCGGAATCCGACTCTTCTCCACTGCCATTGTCACAACTATCCAGCGGGGAGGATCTTGTTTCGATGAAGCTGTTTCCGAAGACGAGGACCCAGAGGAGCCAGAACACGAAAGAGGCCTGGGGCGAAGGGCCTGTTGTTCGCCATCGTTGAGTCGAACAGCTCGAGCGATATGCAATGAACGAACACCGGCAAGTGCACAATAATAAGGTTGAATAGAATTGAGAGGCCAACCATCAATCAATCTAGCTGAGTTGTATGTCGCGTACGCGGCCGCCAGGAAACTGAAGGACGGCAGGGATGGTAGAACGAGACCCCACCGAGCAAGCACAGGAAGAGGGAAGGGACGTGCGAGGGCGGACCGAAGAGTACGATGTAGAGGACGGCAGCGGCAGTAGTGGCGGAGAGTCGAGACCATCGCCGCATCCGAAGGCACAGCACCTCAGGCCAGCCGGATGTGCAATCCGTGACGAGGTTACCCATCCGTTGGCCCATGTTCGCAATGACGCCCAAGCCCACGTGCAGGGGCAGCGCGCCAGCATAGACCCAGCCTCCTGCCAGTCGATCTGCAAGACGGCCTCGGTGTGACGCGGGAAGAACTTCGACAACCTCACGACCAAAATCCGTTGGAGAGGGGCGGCCTGCCGGACATGGAGCAAGAAGGGCGTGGTGTGCAGCACGCCGAGGACGGGGGCGTCGGTCATGGGCGGCCTGGAACTCGTCACGAACGGCATGCACCGCAACCCGTCCCAGCTGGTCATCAGACAAGGGTGCAGCACAAGATAGCGTCTCAACAGAGAACTCGGACTGCCAGACCCCAGGATAAAGTGCACGCGTCGCCAGCATCTCGAGGGTGTGCCACTCAGGGTGGGTGTCGACGAAATTGCGCAGCTGGTCAAGGATAGCCTGGTGCTCACGCAAAGTTAACAGTCGCCGACCTCGCCAGGGTCGCTGCGCATAAACAGGTCCCATCTCACACAGCGAGGGCCGCTCCAGAGCTCCAGCTGAGACCATGCCGCCGGCGAGAAGGCGCCGAGTGCGATGCGGAACACTTGGGCGAGGGCGGGGAGCTCCAGACGGCGCAGGATCGAGGGGCAGCTGCTGGAATTGGGCAACATACGATAGCGTGGTGACCACACGTGCGCAGTAAAGACGAGCAGAGACGCTGGGGGGTGTCACGCCGCTGCCGATAGCTTGAGCCCGAAGGCGAAGCTTGGCCACAGGATTCACCCAGCGCCGCGAGGGCGAGGCCCCAGGGCCCATCCACATGCCAAGGCAGAGGAGCTCCGCAACTGCCCCAAGTGAAGCCCAATCGGGAACAAGGCGTGCAATCTGTTCAGACGTGCGCGAGGCCAGCGAGGTGCTAAAGGGCCCAGAGAGAGGGCCTTGAGGACGCGGTTGGCGAGGAGATCTGCGAGGCGCATCACGCGGGCAACTGGTATGACCTCGGCGATGCTCGCGACAGCGCCGTTGATGTCGTCGGCGCACGCTCTGATGATGCCGCGCGGGGCCCTCTCAATGCACTCCGAGAGATCGCACAATAAGAGCGCAGACGCAATGGCGTGCAAGGAGCCCGAGAGGCCGCAACCCTGGATGATGCCGCTGCGAACCCAGAATAATCGGATGAACTCACCACCAGACAATGCCACACCCTCAATGGCCGTGTAGAGAAAGTCAACAAACAGCTGGAACTCAAGAGGTACCCCCAACGCCGCCAGGACAAACTTAACGTACTCCTGATTCAGGGACGGGAAGGCCTGGCCGAAGCCCAGGGAGAACAGGAGGGGGATGTCCGAGAGGACGGCGGCGTCAGCGACAGCTGTCTGACACACGCGTCCAGCTCCAGAACGTTCAGGCCAAAGTTTCGGGAGGACACACATCCACGCCGACAAGGTGGGGCAACTGAACGGAGGATGTGCACGACCGCGCGATTCATCACCTATGAGAGAACCCTGATGTCCGTGCTGCGCAGCCCGAGCACACGGACCTTGTCGGCAGAACGAGCACACCCACCGCGACCGAGCTCCAGATCAGACACCCGGTTTCGGAAGGAAGCGGAGGAGGAGGAGGAGGAGGAGGAGGAGGCGGAGGAGGAGGAGGCGGAGGAGCAGGAGGAGGCGGAGGAGGAGTCGGAGGAGGAGGAGGCGGAGGAGGAGGAGGCGGAGGAGGAGGCGGAGGCGGAGGAGGAGGGGGAGGAGGAGGAGGAGGCGAGGAGGAGGAGAGGAGGGAGGGGAGGGGGAGGAGGAGGAGGAGGACGAGGAGGTGGAGGAGGAGGAGGAGGAGGAGGAGGAGGCGGAGGCGGAGGCGGAGGAGGATCTCGGAGGGCCCCGGGCCCTTCTGATCCTGGGGGTGCCCTTCGGAGTGCCGCGCCCCGCTCCGGGGCGGGGCCCGCTGGGCCGCCGAGGGGGCTCGTCCTCGAGGGCGTCCAGCGGCCGAGCGGGCTCGTGCGCCAGGCGGGCTCGGACAGGAACCGTGGGGCAGTGGCAATGGGAGCTTGACCACAAGCCTTCCACAAGAAGGCCGACCCTTTTTGTTTCAACCTTCCCCAGTTGAAGGGTTCAGGTTCGTAGCGTTTGGAGCGCTGCGGGGAACCCAGCGGCCTCTTGGAGTCCCAGGGGCTCTAGGAGGCACGGCGACATCAGTGGACTCCACTCGCACCACAAGAAGGCCGACCCTGAGAGGCCCCAGGACGTCCACTGATGCTTGGTGTGGGGAGGTCGGTCTCTTTCCGTCGCAGAGCCATCGAGACCCAAGAGACCCAGGGCACGCGGGAGGCAAGCAGGGTGTTTCTCGGCACGGGTTTCCACTGTACCCATTGGTCGGAAGAAGTGGGTAGAGTCATCAATTAAGACGGCGTCGAGAGTGGATTCGGTTTCCGCCCGACCCCTCAAGAGCAACGATGAGGGGAAACCGCTCGACACCTGAAGTAGGAAGGCGCGTCAAGCAGGCTGGAATCTGAGAATCCAGAGATTCGCCGACCCTCGGTTGCCGGGAGAGCAAAGGCGTGTGAGGTGATTTGAAGGGGCCCCAGGACACACAAATAAATACACACAAATAAAAATATTCCCTATATTATCTAACAGCTTTTGCTGATAGGTTTCTAATAGGCTCAAAAGAGAGCATCATGACTCCTCAGGGGGGTCTGGGCGGGTGCCGGGGAGGAGAACCGGGAACAGAGCCGGGCTCGTTTTCAGCCAACAGTCACACACTTCGTGCTCTTCGACCTCCCAGAACTCCATTCCCGGGCCACATTTTGAATAACCGGAGCCAACTGTAAGCCACTTCGTGCTCTTCGACTTCCCAGAACTTCATTCCCGGGCCACATTTTGGATGCCCGGAGCCAACTGTAGGCCACTTCGTGCTCTTCGACTTCCCAGAACTCCATTCCTGGGCCACATTTTGAATGCCCGGAGCCAACTGTAGGCCACTTCGTGCTCGTCGAGTTCCCAGAACTCCATTCCCGGGCCACATTTTGAATGCCCGGAGCCAACTGTAGGCCACTTCGTGCTCTTCGAGTTCCCAGAAATTAATTCCTGGGCATGATTCTGAATGCCCGGAGCCAACTGTAGGCCACTTTGTGTTCGTCGAGTTCCCAGAATTCCATTCCCGGGCCACATTTTGAATGCTGAGACAGGCTGAGGCTGAGGCTGAAGCAGGCTGAGGCTGAGGCAGGCTGAGGCTGAGGCCGAGGCTGAAGGCAGACTGAGGCTGAGGCTGAAGCAGGCTGAGGCTGAGGCTGAGGCAGGCTGAGGCTGAGGCTGAGGCAGGCTGATGCTGAGGCAGGCTGAGGCTGACGCTGAGGCTGATGCAGGCTGAGGCTGAGGCAGGCTGAGGCCGAGGCTGAAGGCAGACTGAGGCTGAGGCTGAAGCAGGCTGAGGCTGAGGCTGAGGCAGGCTGAGGCTGAGGCAGGCTGAGGCTGAGGCTGAGGCAGGCTGATGCTGAGGCAGGCTGAGGCTGAGGCAGGCTGAGGCTGAGGCTGAGGCTGATGCAGGCTGAGGCTGAGGCAGGCTGAGGCGGAGGCCGAGGTTGAAGGCAGACTGAGGCTGAGGCTGAAGCAGGCTGAGGCTGAGGCTGAGGCAGACTGAGGCTGAGGCTGAGGCTGAGGCTGACTGATGCTGAGGCAGGCTGAGGCTGAGGCTGAGGCTGATGCAGGCTGAGGCTGAGGCAGGCTGAGGCTGAGGCCGAGGCTGAAGGCAGACTGAGGCTGAGGCTGAAGCAGGCTGAGGCTGAGGCTGAGGCAGGCTGAGGCTGAGGCTGAGGCAGGCTGATGCTGAGGCAGGCTGAGGCTGAGGCGGAGGCTCATGCAGGCTGAGGCTGAGGCAGGCTGAGGCTGAGGCCGAGGCTGAAGGCAGACTGAGGCTGAGGCTGAAGCAGGCTGAGGCTGAGGCTGAGGCAGGCTGAGGCTGAGGCAGGCTGAGGCTGAGGCTGAGGCAGGCTGAGGTTGAGGCTGTGGCTGCGACTGCCGTTGCCGCTGCGACTGTCATCGCGAATGCGACTACGACTGCGAGAACAGCAGAATTCTACAACTGGCTTCTCATCTGAATCTTAAGGGGAATGCTTCAGATATGCTCCTACACATCGCTGTTAGGTTGCTTTGCCGGTATAATTTTTTGCCATATTTTTCTGGGTCTTGTGTCTTCCCCCCACATCCTCCAATATTACCTAACAGCGTTTGCTTATAGGTTTCTAGTAGGGTCAAAAGAGAGCATCATGACTCCTCAGGGGGGTCTGGGCGGGTGCCGGGGAGGAGAACCGGGAATCGTTTTTCGCCAACAGTCACACACTTCGTGCTCTTCGACCTCCCAGAACTCCATTCCCGGGCCACATTCTGGAGAACCGGGAACAGAGCCGGGCTCGCTTTTCGCCAACAGTCACACACTTCGTGCTCTTCGACCTCCCAGAACTCCATTCCCGGGCCACATTCTGGAGAACCGGGAACAGAGCCGGGCTTTTTCGTTAACAGTCACACACTTCGTGCTCGTCGACCTCCCAGAACTCCATTCCCGGGCTACATTTTGAGTGCCCGGAGCCAACTGTAGGCCACTTCGTGCTGTTCGAGTTCCCAGAACTCTACTCCCGGGCCACATTTTGGATGCCCGGAGCCAACTGTAAGCCACTTCGTGCTCTTCGATTTCCCAGAACTCCATTCCTGGGCCACATTTTGGATGCCCGGAGCCAACTGTAGGCCACTTCGTGCTCTTCAAGTTCCCAGAACTCCATTCCTGGGCATGATTTTGAATGCCCGGAGCCAACTGTAGGCCACTTCGTGTTCTTCTACTTCCCAGAACTCCATTCCTGGGCCACATTTTGAATGCTGAGGCAGGCTGATGCTGCGGCCGAGGCAGGCTGAGGCTGAGGCAGGCTGAGGCTGAGGCCGAGGCTGAAGGCAGACTGAAGCTGAGGCTGAAGCAGACTGAGGCTGAGGCTGAGGCAGGCTGAGGCTGAGGCTGAAGCAGGCTCATG